ATCGCAGTACCAACTACGGACGAACTGACTTCAGAAGGCTGGGCAAATATTTATATCAAACACGTTTGGTCAAAGCAGGGACTTTCCAAACGAATCACGTCTGATAGAGGATCTCAATCCGTCTCACAATTCATCAAGGATGTGTACAAAAAGCTGGGAATACAAGGAAACCCAAGCATGGCGTATCACCCACAGACCAATGGACAAACTGAGCGAATCAGGAGATCGAAAATTATATAAGAATGTTCATAAATTATCAACAGACCGATTGGCCTGAATGGCTTCCCATCTGCGAATTCATCTACCGCAACAGGGAGCATTCGGCAACAGGATATTCACCTGTTTATTTAACACACGGACATCACCCTTACACTGGAATGGAAACTCGGAAAGAGGCAAAGAGCAAGCAAGCAGATCAATTCATCACAAGAATGAAGAAACTGCAAGAAGAGGCATCGGCCGCTCTCAAACTCACCAAGGAGTACATGAAGGAAAAATAGGACATCAAGAAACAAGAACCGGTAAATTATAATGAAGGGGATAAGGTCTGGCTTGAAGCAATCAACATAAGCACAGATCGACCAAACAAAAAACTTGATGACAAACGATACGGACCATTTGAAATCGTCAAGAAGGTCGGAAACAGTGCCTATAAGGTCAAGTTGCCTAAAGCATGGAAGATCCATCCTGTATTTAACAAAGCACTCCTCACGCTGATAGGCACTAACACACGACAACCCAAAGACCAAAAAGAAATAAATCCTGCATCACCCAGCGGTATGGGTGGAGGTGGTCTAAGGCGAGTGAAGGGTAATATTTAAGTTCGAAGGGAGGGGGGGGAGTAAGACGTTGTAGGGTAGTCCGTAGGAAAACCTGGAAAAATAAACAAAATCTTGAGGCCTGAAACAAACAGTATAGCGATCCTCCGGAGTATTTATCTCTGAAGTCCGCCAGTAGCCCGGGGTGGGGAGTTCCACTGAACCCACACAATAGTCTCTTGCCTACAGATGCTTGGTAAATTTTATACTTTAAATCCGGAGCTTACTAGGATCGATATGCGATGGCGGAGTTATTTAATTTCGACGAGTCAGGCCTATTGGCAAAGCTAGGATCGAATGTAGATGCTAAGTCCGATGCGAAGGGACTTCTAGGGTCGCTGAGATGGTAAATCTGATATGCTGAGAGGGTGAAGTACAAAAAACTTGTCTTTTCTACTATGCTCTATACATTTTTATGCCATTGGAATGGCTTTGCGTCCATCCGGAGTTAAATAACGAATATGCTCCGCAACCCACACAATTATTCAGCCTTTGCCCACCGCTATACCATGTCCCATATGATCCTGCCATGTTTCCATGTGCTCGCCCTAGGTCCTAGAGGTAGCCTCGATGCGTCAATGCTCGCTTGAAGTGCCTCATCACGCAGTGCTGCAGGCTGATCACGTGCGGTTTAGCTCCGGCCGCTTGCTGACTGATACGTTCCGTCCGGCCGTCGATTTATGTCCGCTGACTCAGTCGCTTGACGGCAACGAAGGGGCGTGATGACTGGGGAGTGGTAATAACAATGACTCACTGCGGCGCGGGCCTCCGCCGTTCCCGGAGATAATTAGTCGCGAAGGTATTCTCCCGGGTGACTTTGGAGCGTCTGGCTGCAGAGATAATTCATATTGGTGATCTGCACCTGCCTTTAGGACATTAGAAGGTCCGGAATTAAATCCAGAACCCATTGTCGGTTACTTGTAGCATAAGAAGTTTGACAGGTGGTGTCGAATAAACTTTGGAGGGGATGTACGATGTGTCAAATCCGCAATTTCGGGGGTCAGAAGATCGTTGGGGCTTATCAACGCCCTACTATACGCAAGAATTCCCTAATCAAAAACCGACGCGAACTATTCCCAATATTGTTGCTATCGAAACAAAAGTGGAGAAAATCCTAGATTCAAGAGTACGACGAGGCGGATTACAATATTTAGTATGCTGGGAAAACAAACCAAGATCAGTAGACACGTGGGAACCGCGATCAAGCTTAATTGGGCAATACAAAAGCCTGATTGATGATTTCCATAGACAAAACCCTGACGCGGCAAGGATGCCCACGATCACTGTGCCTGGTGCACTGCGGAACGTGAAATTATCAGAAAAAGAAAAAGAAATCTCATATGACGATGAATGGGACAAATGGACAAGCACCTACGAACGGTGGATGGCCAGAACAAAGAAAGCTACCGATTTACCATCAATGACGCAATCGGAAATAGCCGAATTGTTTTTTGGGACGCATGCTGTCAATCATCATCCATCACAAACCACCATCACACCATGCTCACACTACCGACCTCAGACATCGTCCTATTCATTATACTCGCCACACTAGTCGCCACAATTGCAGGACTCGGTATCACATTTATCATCCTCATCCATCGGCAAAAATCTCGCGACTCCCTTGAAATAATTGGCCAACGCAGACCAAGTCTGGGAGGAATCATCAAATTAGAAGTTGTCAGACGCGGAGGTGCACAACACTAATCGCGAGGATGCGATCCTAGAGGAGGGGGTAATTGTTATGATCAGAACACTTTTTCACATGAATGAAGAACAAAAGTCCCACACACCGTGGTCAAGGATGCAAGAGGCTGAGAGCAAAAACAATGTAAGGTGAAAGGAATCGATCACTAGTTGACAGATTTGACCTCCAAAGGACGCTGTGACACTAACTCTGAAGATATCTTTCTTGTGTTTACAAAATGTTGCAATACACTATATATACAATCCCTAGCTGCAAACCAACTGCATTTCCACCGCACAAGTCCTTCCACTGCTGCCATTCACCATCTCGTGCCCGCTAACCATGTCTCCTCACGGTCACTCATAATCCTATCCTCATACCACTTTCATCCTGCCTACACCCATGCACTCATCCACAAAGGCTCATACCCAACTGATTTGACCGACCGCTGAGCCACCACGCTGTATTCGATGCATCTTGATCACGTGAGCAACTAGCCTGTCCCTCCAGCCACTATATGTCATATGGTTAGGTGATCCCATCCTCGAGGCTTTCTTTGGTCTGTTATGATTTTCCCATGCTTATCTCATTCCATCTCCATTCCGAGCATTGCTATTGGACAGTACCTTTCTCTGAGTAGACCTTCCCACGGACGCTATCTTCTTCTCACACGTTATCTCCCTTGACTCACCTTCTACCAATAGGCGCCCTTGTATTTCTCATTTCTCTGAGTTACGTTCTCACAGGATGGCTTACGCGTCCTTTCTTATTGTTCTCTCCTTTGGGTATTAACCCCTATACCAGTTACTATATATACTGTAGGAAAACCCATGTATTCCTTAGTTCAACCTCCTGTTGAATACAGCGATTACCTGGACTCTTGACTTGACTGTTGGCATTGGCCCGGCCAGACCTACCTTTCAGTACGCTTACTGAGGTAGTGACGACATAACTGTTGGCAC